CCACAAGTGTGAATTCGCAGAGCACCACTCGAAGAAAGATGGTCACAGGTATGTAACCTACCATTATTAATATTCAGCTCTTTTTGGGGGGCCCTGGTGGCGCAGTGGGTTAAAGCCCTGAGCTGCTGAGCTTGTTGACCAAAAGGTTGCAGGTTCGATTCCAGGGAGCGGTGTGAGCTTCCGCTGTCAGCCCTAGCTTCTGCCAACCTAGCAGTTCGAAAACATGCAAATGTGAGTAGATCAATAGGTACCGCTCCGGCGGGAAGGTAACGGTGCTCCATGCAGTCACGCTGGCCACATGACCTTGGAGGTGTCTATGGACAACGCTGGTTCTTCAGCTTAGAAATGGAGATGAGCACCACACCCCAGAGTCAGACATGACTGGACTTAATGTCAGGGGACTACCTTTATCTTTTAGCTCTTTTTTTCTCAGCAACATGAATTAAAAGTTTGAATTACAGTGCTTATTGTACTTGCACTGTTATTGACCCCTTTCATACACATTATCTATTTCTGGTATCATGTTGTAAACAAGTCATTTCATGCACATATTCTTGTTGATGCATGCTGGACTTTTTGACAATGTGTGACACAATTGCCTGTCCACACTTGCTTATCAAGATCTGTTGGCAGACTTGACCATTAAACGGGCTATAGCTTGTATTTTGTGTGCCATAACGTAATCATTGCAACTCTGCTCCACAACAGATAAAAGACTATTCAAAATGTATTGTCGAAGGCTTTTATCAGTGTGTTGTTGTGAGTTTTCTGGGCTGTATGGCCATGTTCCAGAAGGAGACAATGCTTCTGGAACATGGCCATACAGCCCGGAAAACTCACAACCCACTGTTCAAAATATTCTTCTTTCTTTATGTTTCTACCTCTCCCTGGTGCAATTGGAGGCAATGTCACCTACTTTGGGGAACACTGATCTAGACCACTATTTCTTAAATTGTGGGTTTTGAGCCCATCTAAGCAAGCACTAATTGCACACTATCAAACCATCTAATGTATGATGTCTGTTCCTGTTTGTTTGCTTTCAGGTTTACCTGCGCCTGTCCTGCTCCTTGTCCCTTCAGAAGTCACTGCTGGTTCCACAGTGATGGTCAACTGTACCTCTAATGGTCCCGTGTCCCCAGGGGTTGTCATGTGGCTTAGAGATAACAAAGAAACCTTACTTTCCAGAGACTCAGACAACCTTTTAGTGCAGCGTGAACTGAAAACACATGAAGAGGATGATGGGAGGGAATTTGTGTGCGAAGTGCAGCGGATGGTTGATGGGCAGCGTGTTGTGAAACACACCACTAAAAGTCTCACCGTCTTCTGTGAGTAGGCCACATTCAGAGTATTTTCTTTTATTTCTTGAGATTCAGAATACTTCCTATTTAAAGACAAGATGACAGTGTCATTACATTTGAATTCACTTGGATTACATTTGGATAATATAATATAATATATTGGATATACATACAATATTGATAATATTATAATGTAATACAATATAATACTACTAATAATAAGATATTATAATTATATATTTTATATTAAATGTAATATTACTAATAATATTGCAGTATAATGGTATAGTACAATGTAATATATAATATTAATATTTATTTACTTTATTTCTATACCGCTTTTCTCAGCCCTCAGGCGACTCAAAGCGGTGAACAACATCAGTA